TATATATATATATATATATATATTATATATATTGTCGTGCCGAATAGGAAACTTGCGATTTTGGCTTAAATAGCAACGTTCATCTTGCCATATAAGACAAGCGAAAATTTGGTTTATGCATATATTTCGCCAAAATAATCATTCTGAACCTAACGAAAAAAATTATTTTAGCTGTGTTTGTTTAGTATTAAATTATTGTAAACAAATCTAAAATATATTTAGTTGGGTTAGGCTAAAATAAATTGCGCTTGTAATAATAAGGTTAGGTAAGTTTTCTAAGTTCCTTTTGGTGCAAAATTAAAATTTTTACATCAACATTAATGAAAAATATATATCTTTAAACGTATAAGAGAAAATTTTAGAAAGGACTTAATTTTAAATGAGTTCTTGCTAATTGACCAGTTTTACATATTCGGCACGACATATATATATATTATTATATATATATTATATTTTATATATATATATATATATATATATATATATATATATATATATATATATATATATATTATATATATATATATATGCAATAAGATCACAGTAAACAGGTGATCTTTAAAATATGCAAAACAACCACTGTGAAAGAATAGTGAAATTCCAAGCGCTTTCGTGACTACTCACATTGTCAAGGAACTATGAGTTCCTTGACAAAAGTGAGTAGTCACGAAAGCGCTTGGAATTTCACTACTCTTTCACAGTGGTTGTTTTGTGTGTGTGTGTATATATATATATATATTTATATATATATATATTATAAAATATATATATATAATTATTAAAAATATATAAAATATATATATTATATTAAAATATATATATATATATATATTATATATAGGGGAGGTACCACCTCTAGAATGTTATAGGGACCCTCATCCTCAGAGAAAAGAATAAACTTGCTTCGGGAAAACTCAGATTCTCCCTGAGCTGTTTGAGAATTTTTTTCCTACCACCCCCTATATTATATTTATATATATATTTATTTTATTTAAAGAAAAAATACATTGACAAAACATTCAAAAAAAAATTGATAAAAAGAAAAAACCCCAAGGAAAACTCAGAGTACATCTCAAATACTTGTCCAGTCCCCGGGGTGGGCCCGCGTGCCAGTGCTAAAAGGCTTTTCCCCTCTCGGGATCGCAACACGGGTCCTGAAAGGGAAGCGGGTGCCCTGTGGTCCTTGTTTCTTTTTGGCTTTTCCCCAGCTCTATTGGGAACTTTAGAGCACATTTGCCCCCTCCGGGGGTCTCCGACCCTATTGGGATAAATTTATAGCAAGGGGGAATTTTTTATATTTGCGGATTTTGAGTTCCCTGGGGCTGGCACCCACCCCTTCCCCGGGTATGCAAGTGGTGTCTCCAATTTGGGGCGGAATTGGTCCCGGCAATCTGTTTTCATCCTTCCAAGGTACATAGTGGCCCCTAGGACGTTTTAGACCCCCGCAGCCCTTGCACTTGGGGGGTTCCCCGTTGAGCTGGGCAAGGGGTGGGGGCGAGGCTTCTCTTTATGAGTCATTGACCTCCCATGCCTGGAATTTCCCCCTTCTGCGTGTGACACAGAGACCATGAAGCCCCGAAAATTTTTTCAGTGTCCGCCCCTGGGGCAGCTACCTAGGGGGGGGGGGGGGGGGGGGCGGGGGGCCCCCCGAATGGCCTGGGGTCTAGCAGTCCCCAAGGGGGAATTGGGAACAGAAAACGGAATCCCCTGAGTGTGGGGCCTTCACTGCTAGGAGACGGCTTTGTCCTTTCCCGAGGCGTTTGGGAGCATTGTGTTGGCGATTTTTTCCCTGATGGTTTGTCCCAGTGGGGGCTGTTTGTGTTCTTTGGGGGGGCTGGTACTGGGGGAAACTGTAAGGGTGTCCCACCGAATCGCGCTTCAGTAAACCTGGGGTCTTGACTCCCCCCATGTCTCCAAAGCGTTCGGGAACAATTTCTTGACTAAATGCACGGAAGCCCAAAAACGAAGACAGAAAAGCGGTAAAACAAAATGCATTGCTTTGCGAACCCCCTACCTCCCAGTCTACTGGGAGGGGTTTCCCGATCCCCATTGCTGATCCTTGTGACAGGTTCAGTGCCCTTTTTAAGGGTTGCCTCGGTGTCGCTTTTTCGTCAATGTTGGGTTGTCAAAAGAGGGTGCAACCTGAGGGAATAAGTGAGTCTTGGAATGTAAAGGGACCTTTTTGGGGAGATCAGAGATCATGGGCATTAAGATTGCTTTTCTCTCCTCCATTCTCATAGGTCTTAAATTTTTCCTTGACTGGTCGATGGCCCGGTGACCCAGCGGTGCTCCCCCAAAAGGGGATGTTTGGGGCGGGTGGGAGTAGAGACTTCGGGGGATTCTTCGCACAATTTTATTATTTCCTGGTTTTTCTGTGATGATTTCACACTTGGAGGGATTTGGGGGGAGTCCCCAAATCTTTCCCTGTGTTTTCCCCAGTTTAGGTCCCTACCGGGACTTCAGTACCTGCCAGGTGCCTCATCCAGGTCCGTGTTGAGTCACTGGTAGGGTGGAAGTTAGTTCTCTTATGCCCCAAACAAAAGAGAAGTGGAGCGATGGGTCACCCTGCTGAACACCTTTTTATGAGAGAATTTCATGTTCTCCAAACAAAAAAATTGGGGTTTTGCTGTCCCCTGAAATAAATGGAAAAAGAAAATGGGGAAGCGATCCCGAAAGTGCAAGGGGGCATCTCCTTTACCATATTAAAGGCTTTTTAAAACAGTTTGCTATGGCCCTTTTTTCTGGTAGGTCCCCGTGTAGGGCCCCTTTCTGCATGAGCGAGTTCATGCCTTGGGGACCCCAAAGCCCCCCCCAAACCCCAGTTGGTGTGGCTGGAGTAAACTGGCAGCTTCTAGGCGAATATATATATATATATATATATATATATATATATATATATATATATATATATATATATATATATATATATATATATATATATATATATATATATATATCGTGCCGAATAGGCAGAACTTGCGATCTTGGCTTAAATAGCAACGTTCATCTTGCCATATAGGACAAGCGGAAATTTGTGTATGCAATAATTTCGCCAAAATCATTCTGAACCTAACGAAAAAATATATTTCACTGTGTTTGTTTAGTATTAAATTATTGTAAACAAATCTAAAATATATTTAGTTGGGTTAGGCTAAAATAAATTGTTCTTGTTATAATAAGGTTAGGTAAGTTTTCTAAGTTTCTTTTGGAGAAAATTAAAATTTTTTACACTAACATTAATGAAAAAAATATATCTTTAAACGTATAAGAGAAAATTTTAGAAAGGACTTAATTTTAAATGAGTTCTTGCTAATTGACCAGTTTTACATATTTGGCACGACATATATATATATATATATATATATATATATATAATATATATATATATATATATATATATATATATATAATGTACTTAATAAACACAATATGCAATAACCTTGATCGGTTGGTGCTCACTCAGCTCACACACTGAGGTCCGTAGTTCGATGCCCGGTACGGGTGGAAACATTAAGGTGTTTCCTTAAGGCACCTGCTGTCCCTGTTTACCTAGTAGTAAATAGGCATCTGGGTGTTAGTCGATTAGTGTGGGTCGCATCCTAGGGACAAAACTTAATTTCCCGGAAATGCTCTGCATAACGAGGGGCTTTCTGTATAGTAGAATGTCACTGATGTCTACTAAATCTGTATACCTTGTAGATGTACTTGTAGTAATAATGATTATTATTATTATTGTTTTACTGCCTCCAAAGTTTACGTTAGCAACTTGAAAACGGCTCATACGCTTCTTCAAATTTTCGACGCATGTAGTCCGTATCTGGGCAAAGATTCATACATAAGGAGGAGGAGCACTTCAGCAGGTTTACTGGTTTGCCGTAGACCAGTAAAAATCTGCAGTAGGACCACATACACTCGTGTACCTTTCCCCTTATTTTTAAAGTCGCCCAAGGTTCTCTCTTCAGTTAGTTTAGTTTAATATGTTTATTATGCACCCCATACCCATCCTGTGGGCGGTAGTCAAAAGATTACAGAGGTACATAATTGGTCCAGGGACTGGACTCCAAAGTTTTGATAGCTGAGCAAGTTACAGAGGTAATGAACTCACAATTTCCAAAGGTAATGAACTCGCAATTTACAAAGGTAATGAACTCACAATTTACAAAGGTAATGAACTCAGGTAGGTCTAGTCACAATCATGACAAGTTACAAAGGTATTTACAGATTACAGAGGTACGTAATGGGTCCAGGGACTGGGCCCCCTAAGTTTTGAGCTGAACTAGGTACAAAGGTAATGAATCCTGTAAGAATGGTTACTTATGTTTATTCTCTTTTCACTGATGCTGTTTGGGAGTGTGTTCCACTCATCCACAATTGTATTGCCAAACCAGTGCTTTCCCATATCCTTCCAACTTGAATTCATTGCTGGGTCCTCTCCTGATTTGATATTTTCTGCACGATATTTATATCCCATTTATTCCTGGTTTCCATTTGTACACTTCGATGATATCCTCCCTAATTCTAAGTCTTTCCAGAAAATGAAAATTCACCGTCCTTAGTATATCTTCCCAGGAAAGAGTTTTGATACATGGATACATGGAGGGGAAACTTGAGATGACTTTTATGTTCATCCTGGAATATTATAAAGCCGCATTTGTGACTTAATAATGCTCCAAGAGTGGCCGAAATACCGTCTAAAGTTTCCTCTCAAAGTGTGGGTTATTTGTGAAATTGTTACCTAAGTGCTAGCTGCCTGTTTTGGGTGACATATAAAGGGGTGTGTTACATAGTTAAAGCTAAGTTTTGAAGATACTTGTCCACATTTTATGTCATCTCGTGCTAGTAAGTTTATTTAGGCATAGGTACGATTATCATACATAGTGTTAATTACCTACCATAACCCAAAAAGCAATTTACTGAGGTAAGATAATAAATGGCTCAACCTGTGAAATGAAGTGTAATTAATGCATTTTGATACAAGACTGAGGGCATCATCTCCACAGGTTGATGGCGTTACTGGAGCAAGCTATTCATTCTCAGAGTTTCGAGATAAGAGCATACGTCTTGGCAGTGCCCTCACTCGCATAGATATCTCCTACAAGGATGTAGTAGCCATCGTTGCGCCCAACTGCCCGGAGTTTGCTATCACTTTCTTTGCCGTGACGTCCATAGGAGCTATCAACACTACCATCAACTGCACATATACTGCAGGTAGGCCACAGCATGGGTGTGTGTGTGTGTGCTCACATGTATAAGGTGAGCAGAGGGGTCGAATCCTAGCTCCTGGCCCCGCTTTTCAACTTGCCATTTGCTAGAAACAGGACAAGTATTTCCTGACGCGGGTTTTAGTCATATGATAACCCGCCGTTGGAGCTTTTGGTCATCTGACTGAGGCCTTCCGCTGGCTTACCGGCCCACCCCTTTAAAAATTATGGTCATAGTTGTAACCATTAATGTTAGATTCACTTCCTCCTAGCCTCGTGGACTCTATCGTACCTGCTTTTAAAATTATTTTATGGAGCCTACTCCTCCTACTTTGACCACCTGGAGACTGAACAAAATTCTACTTCCTGACATCCCTGTGCCTCCGGTTTTTGTTTTCCGCCTCTCAAACAGCCTGTCCCTGTCTACCTTATCAATTCCTTTAAGTATATTGTAAGTTATTATGTCTCTCCTGGTGCTTCTGCCCTCCAGTATTTTTACATTTAATTCCGTTAGCCTCACTTCGCAGCTCATACCCCTTAGCTTTGGAATTAGTCCCCTCAGGGAAGGTTCCTTGATGTTGGTGAGGGGCTCTTGATTTAGGGAATTGGATCTGTGCTCCAGTTCCCCGAATTAAGCCTGAATGCCTTCCACATCATCATCCCCAGGCGCTGTATAATCCTATGGGTTTAGCGCTTCCCCCGTATTATAATAATAATAATAATCTGGAATTAGTCTCGTTGTATGCTTCTGCACATACACGAGTTTCTTAACATGCTTCTTCAGGTGTGAGTTTCATACTGGTGCTGCATATTTCAAAATAAACCTGATGTGTTTTATAACGGAGTGACTGTTGAGATTCATGAAGGTCACTTTCAGACTTACCAGTCAAGCATTGGCTGCAGAGGTTATTCAATTGATGTGAGTTGGAGCAATATGCTAGGCACTCTGCTTACTCCCAGATCTTTCCTTCCCTGCCCTGCAGTGCTGTATATCCCTTGTGGTTTAGCGCTTAATTTTGATTATAATAATCCCAGATCTCTCTCTGAGTGAGGTGTGCAGCCTCTGTCCCCAGAGCCTCTACTCATGTCCAGTCTTCTGGCCTCTTCTCCAGTCTTCATAACCTTGCACTTGCTGTGGGTTGAGTTCAAGCAGCCACTTAGCTCGATTGCTAGCGCACTCGGCACACACACTGAGGTCCGAAGCTCGATCCCCGGTAAGGCTGGAAAGCATTTAAGAAGTGTTTCCATAAGACACCTGCTGTCCGTGTTCACTCATCAGTACAATGGGTACTTAGGTGTTAATCGACTGGTGTGGGTCGCATCCTGGGGCAAAATTGACCTAATTTGCCCAAAATGTCCACATAACAAGCGGCTCTCTATATAGTAATATGTCACAGATGTCAGCTAGGCCTGTATACCTTGTTCATAATAAAGATATTAGTAGTAGTATAATAATAATAATTATTATTATTATTATTATTATTATATTAGTAGTAGTAGTAATAGTATGATTATTATTATTATATCATTATACCTGACCAACCCAGCTATGCCCCCAAGTTCCCGTTTCTTACCTCAAGCAAGAAACGGGAACTGTCAGTTTCACCCCTCAGTATTTTGTATGCTATGTCTTCCCTCTCTACTTGCCTATATGTGGTTGCAGGGGGTCGATTAGCAGCTCCTGGCCCTGCCTCTTTGGTAGTTGCAACTGTGTGTGTGCATGTACTCACCTATTTGTGGTTGCAGGGGTTGAGACAGTTCCTGGCCCTGCCTCTTCACTGATCGCTACTAGGTCCTCTCTCTCCCTGCTCCATGAGCTTTATCATACCTCGTCTTAAAACTATGTTTTAAGACGAGGTATGCTTTAAGACGAGCTCACTTGCCAAGCTATTCCACTTCCTGACAACTCTGACTAAAGAAATACTTCCTAACATCTCTTTGACTTACCTGAGTCTTCAACTTCCAAATGTGACCCCTTGTTTCTATGTCCCATCCCAGGAACATCTTGTCTCTATCCACCATGTCAATTCCTCGCAGTATTTTATATATCGTTATCATGTCTCGGCTAACCCTCCTGTCCTCCAGTACCGTCAGGCCAATTTCCCTCAACCTTTCCTCGTAGGACATTGCCCTGATATCTGGAACTAGCTGTGTTGCAAACTTTTGCACTTTCTCTAATTTCTTGACATGCTTGACGAGGTGTGGGTTCCAAACTGGTGCTGCATACTCTAGTATGCGCCTGACATACAGAGTGTACAGAGTCTTGAACGATTCCTTGCTGAGGTATCGGAATGCTGTTCTAAGGCTTGCCAGGTGCCCATATGCTGCAGCAGTTATCTAGTTGATGTGTGTTTCAGATGTGCTCAGTATTATAGTCACCCCAAGATCCTTTTCCTTGAGTGAGGTTTGCAGTCTTTGACCACTTAGTCTATACTCTGTCTGTGGTCTTCTTTGCTCTTCCCCGATCTTCATGACTTTTCGTGTGTGTGTGAACACACATGGTTGTTTATACTTTGAATACTGTATGCACAGACAGCACATGTTTTGCATCATACATAATAAAAACATGATATTTGTTGCAAGAGACCAAAGAAGGCAGAGTCAGTCCTAGGTAATATTAATTATCACATTTTTTATGTTTTTTATGTTTATTTACTGTACATAGTAGGATGATTACAAATCAGCTAAGTTTTTATACTGTATGTTATTAGCTTTAAGAATTTAGTACGTATTAGTATTAGTACACTTTGTCATGCAAAGCTCATCAGCATGCTGTAAGTAGCTTAAATTCTGTATAGGTGAATGTAAGTTTTTTTTTTTTTCAGATGAAATTGCCAACCAGCTGAATAATGCTGGTGCCTCAGCTGTTGTGACACATCCACTTTTATTATCCAAAGTAAAGGAAGCGAGTAAATTATGCAAAAACTTGCATCATATAATTGTGATGGGGCCAGCTGAGGAGGGACTCTTATCACTGCAAGACCTCATGAAGGATGATGGCACAGCTTTTCCTCACAATATCCAGGTAAGAGTATGCTTAACATCACATTGCTTTCTTTGGAGAAGATGCATTGATTATGATGAAAGGCTCTTGAGCTAAGGAATTGGAAATGCCCTCTCCTTGGATCAGACCTAATTGTCCCCTGTGCCCGGTGCCCCATGGCCTGGTGGCAAAAGCTCTTGCTCCACATGGTGAGGGTCCGGGTTCAATTCCTGGCGAAGGGATGGAAACATTGGACGTGTTTCCTTACACTGGTTGTCTATGTTCGCCCATCAGTAAAATGGGTACGTAGATGTTAGTCGATTGGTGTGGGTCGCATCCTGGGACAAAACTGACCTAATTTTCCCAAAATGCTCTGCATAACAAGGGGCTTTCTATATTATGTCAGCTAGGCCTGTATACCTTGTACATGTACTTGTAGTAAATAAAGATATTATTATTATTCAGGTGCTGTATGATTCCTATGGGTTTAACATATCCCCCCAGAAATAACAATAGCAGCACTACTTTTTTTCTTGACATTTTCTCAGTGCACCAACTCTATATTTTTTTTATGAGAGTCTTAGAGATGAAGCATAATAATTGACTGTACGAGAGTTGTAATCAATCAATATTGTATATCAAAGTTTCACTGTCACAGAAGCTGGCAAAATACAAACTTACTGTGGCAATCTTTGTACAGTATTTGATTTATGAAACACGAATGTTATATTTAAATTTTGTAATTTCAGATAGATCCTCAGGATGATTTGGTAGTTTTACCTTATTCGTCTGGCACAACAGGACTTCCAAAAGGTGTAATGCTGACACACTACAACCTTGTAGCTAATCTGCAGCAAATTTTACATGAAGGATTAAATACTCTTAAAGCCGGCACGGGTAAGTTATTCTTTCAGCACGTATTGCATGAGAGCATAAGTTTATCATTGAGATTCAGAGTGCTAACTGTGTCTACCATGTTTATTTTCTTCCTTAGATTCTATATTAACAATACAGTAAAACCTTGATTTAACGAACAAAATCAGTTGCACAACAAGTTCAAAAACAATGGACGAAGTCTCTGATCCAGAATTGTTTGCTATTGTTATGGTCCACTGGGTAAATTGATTAATGCAAGTAGAAGGTATAATAATACTGACAATATGGATGAAAGGACACAGGTGCATACACCTAGGATATTTTTATTGGATACATTTCAGTCCTCAGACCTAGACCATTCCAAAATTGATGTGACCTGGGCTCCAGGACTAAAACATATCCAGTAAATATGTCCTGAGTATATGCACTTGCATCCTTTCATGTTCATCGGATAAAGTCTGTTAAATCCCGAATTGTCCATTATTGTTGCAATCATTGAAAAACAATCTTATCATTCATATTCAATAGACAATCAGCATTTCCATACCGAACACCCTCTCCCCCCCCATCCCAGTTAGTTAAATCAAAGTTTTACTGGAAGCAGCATCAGATTTTTTTTGTCCCTTACCTCCATGACTTGCTGGCAAAAATTGCAAGTTACATATGGTACCCTTCTCCATATATGAACATGTAATATTTACACATGATAATATACGCTTGGAAAATCCTAGAGGGATTAGTACCAAATTTACACTCGAAAATCAATCCCTACAAAAGCAAAAGGCTCGGCAAGAGATGCAACATCCCCCCAATGAAAAGCAGGGATGCCACAAGTACACTAAGAGACAACACAGTAAGTATCAGGGGCCCAAGACTGTTCAACTGCCTCCCAGCATGCATAAGGGGGATTACTAATAGATCCCTGGCTGTCTTTGAGAATATGCTGGACAGGCATCTAAAGTCAGTACCTGACCGCCTGGGTTGCGGTTTGCATGTCAGTTTGCATGTGGCCAACAGTAACAGCCTGGTTGTTCAGGCCCTGATCCACCACGAGGCCTAGTCACAGACCAGGCCATAGGGGCATTGACCCCCTAACCCTCTCCATGTATACACCAGTCTTTTTTCTTGGATTTTGTATGACATTATCACAAAGTGTTATAGATAATTCAGTCTAATAATTATGTCTGTCAACCTGCAGTAAAGTGTTAGTTTAATATGTTTATTATGCACCCCATACCCATCCTGTGGGCGGTAGTCAAAAGATTACAGAGGTACATAATGGGTCCAGGGACTGGGCCTCAAAGTTTTGATAGCTGAGCAAGTTACAGAGGTAATGTTTTTACTATATCTCGGTGCAGCTTCAAGCCCAGCTTTAATTTTTCTTGTGTATGATATAAATGTTTGTCTCGGTAGTGTCATGTAACATGTTATCAGTTCTCAAATTATGATTATACAGGTGTTTGTTTTAGTTTTTAGCCTACATGTGCTCCTAATACTGTACTGTATTACCCTTAATGTTTGACTCTTGAGCCATTTTATAAAAAAGTTGTTGCAATGCCATTAATATGAGCAGTATTAATTTTTAATATATAAACCTTATTTCACCTTTATCTGATTTAACTTTTCACAGAAATGTTTGTTCCTATTATTATTATGATTATTATTTTCATAATTGCAATCATTAAAATTCTCTGATAATTACATTGTGATTTATGATTGAAATTACTGCTAAATTATTATTATGATTTTGATGATTGTCATTTGATATTACTACTATCAATATTGCAGATGGCTATCAAGAAGTGTTCATGGGTCTTCTACCATACTTTCATATATATGGAATGGTCACTTGTATGGGACTTTCACTTCTCTGCGGAGCCAAATCTGTAACCTTACCAAATTTTGACCCAAAATTATTTGTCGATGTTTTGGAAAAGCACAAGGTAAGGTGATTCCACTTCTTTCCATTAAAAAAATTTTCATCTAGTGTGAGAGAATGCTTAAAAAGCTGCAGTGACATTAAACTTAATGGAATAATTGTGGTCATTAAAGTAGCTTAGGATAGAATGCTAAACATGATTTTAAATTATGAAAAAATGCATCTCTGATTAACGGTCTGATGTCTCCCACTGGTATCAACACTCTTACATGGGAGTAAAGCATGGGTTGTGGTTACTACAGCGAGAAGGAGGCTGGAGGCAGTGGAGATGTCGTGTCTAAGGCCATTGTGCAGTGTTAATATTATACAGAGAATTCATAGTGTAGAAATTGGGAGGTGTAGAGTTACAGAAAGTATTATTCAGAGGGCTGAAGAGGGGTTGTTGAGTTGGTTTGGTCATTTAGGGAAGATGGAGCAAAATAGAATGACTTAGAGGGTGTATAAATCTGTAATGGAGGGAAGGAGGGGTAGGGGTTGTCCTAGGAAAGGATGGAGGGAGAGGGTAAAAGAGGTTTTGTGTGAGAGGGGCCTGGACATGCAGCAGGCATGTGCGAGCTTGTTTGGTAGGAGTGAATGGTGATGAATGGTTTTGGGGACCTCACGAGCTGTTGGAGTGTGAACGGGGTAATATTTTGTGAAGGGATTTAGGGAAACTAGTTAGCCGAACTTGAGTCCTGGAGATGGGAAGTACAATGCCTGGACTTTAAAGGAGGGGTTTGGGATATTGGCTCTTTAGAGTGACATCTAAACTGTCATACCTGGGGCACCTCTGCAAAGACAGTGATTCTGCGAATGATGGTGAAAGTGTTTCTTTTTTGGGTCACCCTGCTTCGGTGGGAGACTGCTGGTGTGTTAAAAAAAAAAACTGAATTATGATGTCTGCATTTCTGAAATGACAGCTAAGGAATTAGTAATAGTGAATGTATTTCCATGTTTGAGTCACCACTCCTAGGTGGTATACGGCTGATGTGTTAAAAAAAATTACAATATGATTGATAAATGATTTACTTAAAATCAGCAATTAACATTTCTTGAGTCTGTCTCAATATTGTTTTGCCATTTGATCTCCATTGGTTTGTATATTTTTTGATTTCCTTTGTATACAGAACCTAAACTAGAAGAGGGCAAATTCCTAGGTATACACCTTGATAGCCATCTGAAATTCAACACACACATTTATTCACCTCATCTCTTCAAGGCTGTTTGCCACAAACATCTATACAAATCATTTATTACTCACTAATCTACTCTGAATATTAACCCTTTGAGGGTCGACAGGCCCTCTCCGAAACTCGTTCTCAGGGTCGGCCAAATTTAAAAAAAAAAAAAATATTTTCTCTTATGAAAAGATAGAGAATCTTTTCCCGATCATAAAGACACCAAAAGTTTGAAATTTGATAGAAAACTTACGGAATTATGCTCTCGCAAAGTTAGCGGTCTCGGCGATGTTTACGCATCGGCGATTTTGCCCACTTTGAGCCCCATTTTCCGCCAATTTCACTGTACTAGTCGACAAAAAACATGAATATTTCGCTAGAACTCCATTATTTCTATCGAATGGGTGCAAGAAACCACCCATTTATGAAATTCAACTATCCAGTACAGTGGTCAGAATTTAGCAATTTTGCCAATTTTGCACAAATTTCAAAAGATGCCAATTTCCGAATAGGGTCCAGAATAAACAAGAAAGACATTCCTGGCACTAAAATGACATTTCCTCTAGTCATTAGTCACGTCTCAAGGCCCCTCTTATATTCTTTTGCTTTCCACTTTGAATTTTTATTCTCACAAAAAATATAAGATTTACTGTTATGCAGACTACTGCATTAGTGTAAAAAATGGTATAAATATTATTGGTGCACTTGTGAAAGAATATTAGACTCACCAGTTGAGTGTATTGCACGCTTGCACGATTTGTTTACTTTTGAAGTTTGGTAAAAATCGAACATTTCTGCTACTTTGAGCTCAATTTCAAGGCACCTTTCATTGTAAAACCAGTCAAAATCATCTCAATTTCTGTAATATGTCTTCCATTCTATAAAATGAGACCAAGAAAACTAGAATACAACAATAAATACCATACGAAAATACACTGCAAAGTCGCTGATTTATTCCAAAAAAATGGTCAAAGTTTTTTTTTTCTCATTATGCACTGTGTGCTGCAGGATTTTTTTTAGACTGTGCACTCTGACCACATAGACCCATTCTTTCATATGAAGGCCTACCAGCTTTCTCCCACTAGATTTGAGGCTGCTAGAATTTATGCGTACTAGTACGTCAAAAACCCCTACGCGTAAGACGTACTAGTACGACCAAAACCCTCAAAGGGTTAAAATAACATAACACAGAATATTGAATCATGGCTTTTAAAGCACATTATTAGAACAAAATTATCTTACATATGGAATTTGTGCATGGGGATCAACAACATCCAATCACCTAAAACCCCTAACAACCCAGCAAAAGGCAGCAGTAAGAATGATAACAAATTCCCACTCCCGCCAGCATACTCCACCAATTTTCAAGTCTGAATCTGCTCACCATTAAGAACACCCATACTTATTCATGTTCCTACTACATACACAGAACAATACACGCAAATATAAACCCTCCACTCAAACTTCTCACCAAACCTAAACAGGACACATGACCACAACACAAGACACAGATCTTGGTTTGATATACCTCGTGTCCATATCACACTGTGTAAAATCTCTATGCACATAAAGGGTCCCAAAATATGGAATTCATTACCAGAAGATATTAAAGTAACCCAGTTTGAAAATCAATTTAAGACTCTTCTCAAAAGCCACTTAATCACCCTAGACTAAATGCTCAATACTCAGTACACACATACTCACTTATGTACTCCCACATCATAACTTCAACAATCACTTTGAACCTTTTATCCATTGTTGACAGGAATATAATTGAATCGTTGTTTTCACAAAAAGCATTTTCGAATATAAATATATCTTTGTCTTATACAAATTTTGATTCATTTATAATTAATAATCTACTGTACAACTATGAAATAATTACTATCCTACTGTACAACTATGATATAATCCTTAGTGTTAAGTAGACTGTAAGCCAATAATGTTAAGTTGGCCCATAATGCCTAGGCATAATAGAGGCTCTCTTTGCATTGCAACCCACTATTGTAAATACAAAATCTCAATGTACTGTTTGCAAAGACATAAAATAAATAAATAAAATAAGGTACATGTATATGGAATACTTTGCGAGAAGTTATTTTAGTGACTTGTTTTAAAATAAAACAATTATTTTTCAGATATCTTACCTACACTCAGTTCCTCCAGTTGTGAGCTTCTTAGCTCACCACCCTTTAGTGAAGCCTGAGCATCTTAGCCATACTCACACTGTAAGCAGTGGTGCTGCACCAGCAGGTTCAACTCTCATTAACAATTTCATCAAGAAATTTGGTTCTGAAATTATTTTTCAGGAAGGTGAGTGAATGATATGACCTAAAAGGATTTATTACCCATCTTATTATATGATATTTTCTCACCTTTTAGTACTGTGCTGTAGTTGTAAGTTAATGTTTTGCATTTTTTCTGACTCTTCATTTACCTTCATTACCTTCAATAGCCTGGAGATACCTGGAGAGGGTTTCGGGGGTCAACGCCCCCATGGCTCAGTCTATGACCAGGCCTCGTGGTGGATCACAGCCTGATCAACCAGGTTGTTACTGTTGCCAGCACATAAACAGACATACAAGCCACAGCCTGGCTGGTCAGGTACTGAATTTAGGTGCCTGTCCAGTGCATTCCTGAAGACAGCCAGAGGTTTCTTTGTAATCCCTCTTATGTATGCTGGGAAGCAGTTGCCTCATAGTGTACTAGTGGCGGCCCTGCTTTTCATTGGATGGATGCTGCATCTCCTGCCCAGTCTTTTGCTTTCATAGGGATTGATTTTTCAGGTGCAAGTTTGGGGCTAGTCCCTCTTAAGATTTTCCAAGTGTATATTATCATGCTCTAGGTAGTTGGTTGGAAGGCAGCAGCAGCCCAGGGAGATACTACTGTCCTGCCAAGCGAGTGTATAACAGAAGCTTATAATTGTTTTACATGATGGTAAGATTGCTGGTGTCTTTTTTCTGTCTCATGAACATGCAAGATTTCAGGTACAACTTGCTACTTCTACTTAAACTTAGGTCACACTACACTTGCATGTACACGCATATATATATATATATACGTACACCCCTCTGGTTTTTCTTCTATTTTCTTACTAGTTCTTGTTTATTTTCTCTTATCTCCATGGGAAGTGAAACAGAATTCTTCCTCCATAAGCCATGTGTGTCGTAAGAGGCAGCTAAAATGCCAGGAGCAAGGGGCTAGTAACCCCTTCTCCTTTATTTTTTTTTATATTTTATTAGCACACTGGCCGATTCCCACCAAGGCAGGGTGGCCCGAAAAAGAAAAACTTTCACCATCATTCACTCCATCACTGTCTTGCCAGAAGGGTGCTTTACACTACAGTTTTTAAACTGCAACATTAACACCCCTCCTTCAGAGTGCAGGCACTGTACTTCCCATCTCCAGGACTCAAGCCCGGCCTGCCGGTTTCCCTGAATCCCTTCATAAATGTTACTTTGCTCACACTCTCCTTTATATATTGCTAAATTTAAAAGGAGAAACTTTCCTTTTTTCTTTTGGGCCAACCTTCCTCGGTGGAATATGGCCAGTTTGTTGAAAGAAGATGATGTTGTCATGTATCTTTCTCGCCTGCATTCCAGGGAGTATAAATCAAGGGACTTCAATCATTCACAGTAATTTAGGTGCTTTATTGTTCTTATACGTGCCCCGAAAGTTCTCTGTACATTCTCCAGGTCTGCAATTTTGCCTGCTTTGAAAGGGACTGTTAGTGTGCAGCAATATTCCAGCCTAGAGAGAACAAATGATTTGAAGAGAATCATCATGGGCTTGGCATCCCTAGTTTTGAAGGTTCTCATTATCCAACCTATCATTTTCCTAGCAGATGTGGTGGATACAATGTTGTGATCTTTGAAAGTGAGATCCTCCGACATTATCACTCCTAGGTCCTTCACCTTAGTTTTTTGCTCTATTGTGTGATTGGAATTTGTTTTATACTCCAATGCACCCTTAATTTCCTCGAGTTTTCTGTAATGGAGTAATTGAAATTTGCTTCATTGAATTTCAGTTGTTTTCTGCAGCCCATTTAAAGATTTGGTTGATGTCCACTTGGAATCTTGCAGTGTCTTTGATGGATGACACCATCATGCATATTCAGGTGTCATCTACAAAGGAAGACATGGTGCTGTGGCTTATATCTTTGTCTTTGTCAAATATGAGGATAAGTAACGGGATGGAGCAAGTACTGTGCCTTGTGGAACAGAGCTTTTCACTGTGGCTGTCTCAGCCTTAACTCTGTTTACTATTATTCTTTGTGTTCTATTTATTAGGAAGTTACAGATCCATCTACCAACTTTTAGAGAATAAAGGAATAGAGATAAAGGAATGATAAAGAAATAACTTCCTGTTATTCCTTTATCATGCATTTTGCATGCTATTACACCATGGTCACACTTGTCAAAGGCTTTTGCAAAGTTTGTGTATACTACATCTGCATTTTGTTTGTCCTCCAGTGCATCTAAGACCTTATCATGGTGGTCTAGTAGTTGAGGCAGGCAGAAACGGCCTGCCCTTTGAGTTTGTAAGTGACGGATATCTATGTGGGTGGCAATCTTGCTTCTTAGAACCCTTTCAAAGATTTTTATGATATGGGACATCACTGCTATAGGTCTGTAATGCTTTGCTGCCACCTTTGTGGAGGGGCTATGTCTGTTGTTTTTAGTGATTGTGGGAGGACCCTTGTGTCCATGCTCCCTCTCCATAGAGTGCTGAAGGCATGTGAAAGGAGCTGAGTGCATGGGCATGTTATTTATTGCTTTTTTGAAGTTTTGTGGTGTTAAGATAATATCATAGATTTTTGAATTGACCAAATTTTGAGTCTCTGTCATAAAAAATTAATTTAGATTTTCAAATCTTAGTCTGGTTAATGGCTCACTAAACTGAGTCATACTGAGACTTTAGTATCTCATTTCTTTGTTGTCATCTGTGTAAGTCCCATATAAGCAGGGGTTCAATACTGGATGTTATTTTGGCCTTGGATTTGGCATAAGAAAAGAAATATTTAGTTTTTTTTTTTTTAAATTTCATTGATGCCTTAAGTTCTTCCTTAAGGTTAAGTTAGATATTTGCTATTTCTCTGACCAGTGTCAGAGAAATAGCAGAAATAAAAAGATTTTAGTGTTTTGTCCCTTTTCCTTCAAATATAAAATACAGCTTTCTAAAGCCTTGATTTAGTGTATTTCAGATATAATGGTCAAAATTCAGATGACAGACAGTCTATAAATAATGGACCAAGTCCTTATGTCCAAAATTGACCAGTATTGTTACAGTCCCCTGGGTAAATTAATTTCAGAAACAACAAAGTCCGTGTAGTGCTTCAACATAAATACGCTACTTCTGTTACATGATATATACTGGTGTGGCAAGTGTACTTGTGTAAATATATTCCATGTATTGAACAGTATTAACCCGTAAACGGTCCAAACGTATATATACGTTTTTTCAACATTTGAAAGCATGTAAAAAAAAGTAGATCTTCTTTTTGTTTTTTTATATTTGAAAATGTGTAAAAAAACTTTGATCTACTTTTTTTTCTTATATTTGCAAATATGTAAAAAAAAACGTAGATCTAATTTTGTAGCACTACACATGTGAACGAAAAATCTGCTTGGACCGTTTACGGGTTAAAGTCTGTGATCTTGTAAGAAAGTGTACCATGTTATTTAAATAAGACAAGTGTTCTGACAATAAAGCCTTCAGTAGAACTGGGGTGTCTGCTTTTGCATGGGTCTACTGGTAGACCCCAGGCTTGGATATAAATAATCCTGTTGTATGGCTCCAGCTAAGAATTTTTTGCTTGAAACTTGTTTTCTGTCTGATTTATTCTGGCAGGACAGTGATTAATGAATGACAGTGCAAGGTATCCTTTTTTTTCTTTTTTGTCACTCTACCTCAGTGGACTAATAAAAACATGACAGTAAATCTCTACTCAGTAATGGTTAAGTAGTAAAGGTTTTGCATAGCTTCGTGTTCTAAAGGGATTTGTTGTGTTTGTTGCTTATGAGCTACACTTTGTTGCTTTTCCACTGATGTATCTGATATACATTTGTGTATTTTTCCTGAGTGTGAGGGTCTAATAACACTAGGCTAATCCTATTTTGGGTTTAAGGAAGACATATGAGATTATAGTAATATTACTGTATGAAAAGACTAATATTCTCCAAAATTAATATATTATTGACAGTGGCACATCATTTTCTATTTAAAAGTGTTAAGTAGCATTATATTAAATATACAAGAGGCATGCTGTAGATATAGGTACATTTTTAATAGGTATAAAAGCATATGGCATTTATGTCTCTAAATTTCCCAGTACTGTACTGTAAACACTGACTCATAGCTTAATGACGGCATGTTCACCTTACGGCCAAAGGTCCTGGGTTCATTCCTAGGCAAATTAAGACATGTGACCAAGTCTCTTCACATTTGCTGTCCATTTGCCTTGTAGTAGTAAATAGGTTCCTGGGGGTCTTGTCAAATTTTATAGGTCTCTTCCTTGGAAAGATTATCAACGGATTTCAGCGACAGTAACCCGATGTTGCTTTAAGGGTTATCATTGCTGATGTTTTTCTTTATATTCTTTCAGGTTATGGAATGACTGAAACTTCTCCAGTGACACATCTAACACCCAAAGACAACCATGTAGTGGGCTCTATAGGAGTAGTCATTCCCAACACTATGGCCAAGATCATTGATATTAGTACTGGTGAAGCCATTGGACCCAATGAAGGAGAGGGGGAACTATGTATAAAGGGTCCACAAGTATGTTTATACTCTTCATTTTACAAATACACATAAATATATCATACATACATACATTTACATTGAGTAATCTCAAAAAGGCTAGAGGTATCGGACTTTAATGAAGAGGAACTTAACATAGCTTAAATGAAAAAATAAAGACAATCTTAATTAAGTCATGCAACACCTGGGTATCCATATTGTAATGACAATTTATCTGCACAGCAAGCTGTATTGGTCTAATACAGAGAATAAAAGTCACAGTACCATGGCTGGAACAATATACAAATAACCTGCACTTAGGAGAGAAAATTTATGACAATGCTTTTGCCTGACCTGGTCCATTGTCAAGTCACAGCTGAATGAGAAAAAGGCAGAGAAGGCCCAAAGATAAATCAGGAGGAGGGGGAAAGAAGACGGTAATAGTAGTAATGGTGGTAGAAGTAATAGTAATGCAGCAGTGATAGAAGTAGATATTTGGAAGCAGTAGTAGTAGTAATGTAATTACTAGGGTACAAGTAATGGTTAACCCTTTCAGGGTTTTGGCCGTACTAGTACGGCTTAGGCACCAGGGTTTTTGACGTACTAGTACACCTAAATTCTGGTGCCCTCAAATCTAGTGAGAGAAAGCTGGTAAGCCTACATATGAAAGAATGGGTCTATGTGGTCAGTGTGCACAGTATAAAAAAAATCTTGCAGCACACAGTGCGTAATGAGAAAAAAAAAACTTTTACCATGTTTTTGGATTAAAACAGCGACTTTGCACTGTATTTTCGTATGGTATTTATTGCTGTATTCTAGTTTTCCTGGTCTCATTCTATAGAATGGAAGACATATTACAGAAATTGAGATGATTTTGACTGATTTTACAATGAAAAGTACCTTGAAATTGAGCTCAAAGTAGCAGAAATGTTCGATTTTTACCAAAGTTCAAAAGTAAACAAATCATGCTAAGCGTCCAATACACGTCAACTGGTGAGTCTAATATTCCTTCACAAGTGCGCCGATATTATTTATACCATTTTTTACACTAATGCAGTAGTCTGCATAACAGTAAATCTATTTTTTGTGAGAATAAAAATTCAAAGTAGAAAGCAAAAGAATGTAAGAGGGGCATTGGGACATGACTAATGAACAGAGGAAATGTCATTTTAGTGCCATTTTCTTGTTTATTCTGGACCCTATTTGGAAATTGGCATCTTTTGAAATTTGTGTGAAATTGGCAAAATTGCTAAATTATGACCACTGTATTGGATAGTTGAAATCGGTAAATAGGTGGTTTCTTGCACTCATTCGATAGAAAAAAATGGAGTTCTAGCGAAATATTCATGATTTTTGTCAACTAGTACAGTAGAATTGGCTGAAAATAGGGCTCAAAGTGGGCAAAATCGCCGATGCGTAAACATCATCGAGACCGCTAACTTCGCGAGAGCATAATTCCGTAAGTTTTCCATCAAATTTCATACTTTTGGTGTCATTATGATCAAGAAAAGATTCTCTGTCTTTTCATAAGAATTTTTTTAAATTTGGGCACCCCTGAGAACAAGTCTCTGAGAGGGCCTGTCGACCCTGAAAGGGTTAAGAGTGTGGTAGTGAAAAAATTAGTGTTTGTACTAGTGGTAATACAATAGATTGAGAAACCAAAAAAGCACTGAAGGAGAGCCACTGGCCCACAGATGTAGGACAGAACCTCTGAAGGATAAATCTCTTCCCTCCCCTTCCCCTATCCAGAACAACTCAACAAGGCAAAAGACAGGAAAGGCAAGGAAAATACAGAAGACAGGTGAATAGGAAAAAGAGGGGAGGAGGCAAAGGTCAGGTCAATTCATAAGTGTTCTGAAGATTAGAGCATTTGACATAGTAATAAAACAGGGAGGCATCTCTACGTAAACTCCAGGTAAGGGCTGCTTTAACAAGACGACATCCATGAAGCCCAGAAGAAGGGTAGACAGTTTTTTGCAGAGGATCAGTTAATAGGATGACTGATCTCTAACATGAGAAAAAAGAGCATTATTAGTGTCGGCAAGGATAGCACTTCTTTTGTGTTCTTGAAGATCAGAAAGAGAGTTGCCAGTTTCACCAGAGTATTGGAGAGGGCTAGAAGAACAGAAAAACAGGAAATGGAGTAGACACATAAAGCACCAGTGGCAGGAGAAGTATGAACTAGATTACTACAAAGGGTATTATTTTGGTGAAAAGTAAGTTTGATATCTAAAGGATGGTGGGTGTTAGGATTTAGTAAATTGGAAATAAAGGGAAGGCAAAGAACAGATATTTCCTAATAGATTGCCTAATAGAATACTCAGTTCTCTTGTACTCATTGTAACTCATTTAATGACCATATGAACTGTCACCGTGCCTCGGTGGGAGACGGCCAACTTGTTGAAAAAAAAAAAATGAACAGTTATTGCCTTATTAATCTTAAGTTAATTTTAAGTTTGCCTGAAATGCTCTGCATACAAAGAGGCTTTTGGCATGTACACCCAACTATTATATTCCTTGGTGCAACCATGTATCATGTCAAAATAAAATTATTATTATTATTATTATTATTATTATTATTTTATTTTATTTATTATCACACTGGCCGATTCCCACCAAGGCAGGGTGGCCCGAAAAAGAAAAACTTTCACCATCATTCACTCCATCACTGTCTTGCCAGAAGGGTGCTTTACACTACAGTTTTTAAATTGCAACATTAACACCCCTCCTTCAGAGTGCAGGCACTGTACTTCCCATCTCCAGGACTCAAGTCCGGCCTGCCGGTTTCCCTGAACCCCTTCATAAATGTTACTTTGCTCACACTCCAACAGCACGTCAAGTATTAAAAACCATTTGTCTCCATTCACTCCTATCAAACACGCTCATGCATACCTGCTGGAAGTCCAAGCCCCTCGCACACAAAACCTCCTTTACCCCCTCTCTCCAACCTTTCCTAGGCCGACCCCTTCCCCGCCTTCCTTCCACTACAGACTGATACACTCTTGAAGTCATTCTGTTTCGCTCCATTCTCTCTACATGTCCGAACCACCTCAACAACCCTTCCTCAGCCCTCTGGACAACAGTTTTGGTAATCCCGCACCTCCTCCTATTATTATTATTATTATTATTATTATTATTATTATTATTACTATTATTATTAAATCAGTTTGGGAGAGAAGAAAGTCCATTTAGTATGAGAGTAGCCAGAATAATAGCCAAGGTGAGAGAATAATCTGTGAAGAGTGGAAATTTCAAGTCGAGAAACTGAGGGGTCAAAGATGCATAGCCTCCTGTGACCTTCAAAAAGTGATAGCCATAAACATTAAGAAAGAATGCAGATAATTGGATTCCCATTCAGTTTTGAATTGATAGGAGTAAGATTGTTAAGAGCATTGAAAAAAGGTCAGCAGCAACTAGAGTTGTGTGACCAAAGAGCAAAGACACTAAGTTACCTTTCTTAGGTGTGGGTTATTTGTTTTCTAATTACTTACCAGAGCCAAGGAAGAGGTGTTACAGTTGATGTAAGTCATGCTTGTAATGTGAGCCACATATTTAGCATTAGAGTTGCAGAAGAGATAGAGGCAGCAGTTAAAGACATTGTCACAGGTGGGCTAGACTCACTTTCAGAAGTAGGTAATGCCTATAAGGTGGGCATGATACTTAATAATGACCTGTGACCATGTCTTGAACTACTGCATCTCCACATATTTTGCAGTGCTATTGCTAAATCTATGGCCAACATTATGGACCTGACCTGCTTCTACCAGTGAGCCCTGCTCACTTGTGACAATATCTTCAATTGCTGCACCTCTCTTCTGGCTCCAGTGTATAGTTTCATCTTCATGCCTCTATATTAGACTGGTAAAGCCTTCCGAGTATGTTAAACATCACTACAATAAAGATATCCAGGTGTTGCATATATATCTTATTCATCAACCTGTCAGTATTGTATACCTTTGATGCAAAGAAAATCTTCTACATGATGTAGCATTCATGTGTATTATTTTTTTACAAAAGTTTGAAAGCAAGAAAATAATGTGTTCATGTGTAAGTATATTGGTATCGCTTCATAATTAGTGTAAGTATAGTAGGACCCCCGTATCCATGGGTCCGGTATCTGTGGTTTCAGTTATCCGCAGTTTACCGTGGCCCAGAAATAAATCTTAATTTTGCTTAATACTGTCTTCAGAGCCTAAGAGAAGGCACTGAAGTGCTTCCCATCAGTGATAATTCTCCACTTATTGTGCGTAATTTATGAATTAAACTTCATAATAGGTATGTCTATATATTGGGTTTTCTACTATCCGCAGTTTCAATATCTGCATGAGATACTTGGAACGTATCCTTCGCGGATACCTGGAGTTTACCTGGAGAGAGTTCCGGGGGTCAACGCCCCTGCGGCCCGGTCTGTGACCAGGCCTCCTGGTGGATCAGAGCCTGATCAACCAGGCTGTTACTGCTGGCTGCACGCAAACCAACGTACGAGCCACAGCCCGGCTGATCAGGAACCGACTTTAGGTGCTTGTCCAGTGCCAGCTTGAAGACTGCCAGTGGTCTGTTGGTAATCCCCCTTATGTATGCTGGGAGGCAGTTGAACAGTCTCAGGCCCCTGACACTTATTGTATGGTCTCTTAACATGCTAGTGAATCCCTGCTTTTCATTGGGGGGATGTTGCATTGTCTGCCAAGTCTTTTGCTTTCGTAGTGAGTGATTTTCGTGTGCAAGTTCGGTACTAGTCCCTCTAGGATTTTCCAGGTGTATATAATCATGTATCTCTCCCGCCTGCATTCCAGGAATACAGTTTAGGAACCTCAAGCGCTCCCAGTAATTGAGGTGTTTTATCTCCATTATGCGCGCCGTGAAGGTTCTCTGTACATTTTCTAGGTCAGCAATTTCACCTGCCTTTAAAGGTGCTGTTAGTGTGCAGCAATATTCCAGCCTAGATAGAAACAAGTGACCTGAAGAGTGTCATCATGGGCTTGGCCTCCCTAGTTTTGAAGGTTCTCATTATCCATCCTGTCATTTTTCTAGCAGATGCGATTGATACAATGTTATGATCCTTGAAGGTGAGATCCTCCGACATGATCACTCCCAGGTCTTTGACGTTGGGTGTTCGCTCTATTTTGTGGCCAGAATTTGTTTTGTACTCTGATGAAGATTTAATTTCCTCATGTTTACCCTATCTGAGTAATTGAAATTTCTCATCGTTGAACTTCATATTGTTTTCTGCAGCCCACTGAAAAATTTGGTTGATGTCCGCCTGAGCCTTGCAAGTGTCGCAATGGAAGACACTGTCATCCAGATTCGGGTGTCATCTGCAAAGGAAGACAAGGTGCTGTGGCTGACATCCTTGTCTATGTCAGATATGAGGATGAGGAACAAGATGGGAGCGAGTACTGTGCCTTGTGGAACAGAGCTTTTCACCGTAGCTGCCTCGGACTTTACTCTGTTGACTACTACTCTCTGTGTTCTGTTAGTGAGGAAATTATAGATCCATCGACCGACTTTTCCTGTTATTCCTTTAGCACGACTTTTGTGCGCTATTACGCCATGGTCACACTTGTCGAAGGCTTTTGCGAAGTCTGTATATATTACATCTGCATTCTTTTTGTCTTCTAGTGCATCTAGGACCTTGTCGTAGTGATCCAATACGGGGGTCCTGCTGTATATCACTTGTAATTAGTCATCAATCCATAGAATATTTTCTCATATGATAAATTACTTTATTGAAGCTTATCATATATTTTTTTTTATTAATCCGTCAGCTGTTTCCTGCCAAGGCAGGGTGGCCCTGAAAAAGAAAAACTTTCATCATCATTCACTCCATCACTGTCTTGCCAGAGGCATGCTTACACTACAGTTATAAAACTGCAACATTAACACCCCACCTTCAGAGTGCCAGCACTGTACTTCCCATCTCCAGGAATCAAGTCTGGCCTGCTGGTTTCCCTGAATACCTTCATGAATGTTTCCTTGCTTACACTCCAACTGCATGTCAAGATCTAAAAACCATTTGTCTCCATTTGCTCATATCTAACACGCTCATGCATGCTTGCTGAAGGTCAAGCCCCTTACATTAAATTAAAATGATAATATTAATTGGTAATCAGTGGGAGATGGCCGACGTGTTGAAAAAAATTATTTATTGTCTATAATTTGTCAGTTACAAATAGGGAGAGATAGTTATAAATGGAGAGTTAAGAGGTATTGGGAAGAATGGAAGGGATATTTTTGAGGGATTGTTAAAATGTTGATGAAGATAGGGAAGCCTGTGATTTCGTGTATAGGGCAAGGAGGAAAAACATCTTGAAGAGGAGAAGAGCCAGTTGGTGAGTGTGGTGGAAGTTCCTGAGGGCAGTAGGTAAAATGAGAGGGGTAAGGCATCCGGGATTGATGGATAAAGATAGAAATGTTACAAGCAGGGGGATATATATTTGGAGTGGTTGGTGCAATATATTTAATCAATGCATGGAAGAGGTAAGGTCCTTAGGGATAGGCAGAGAGCAGCATAGTTTTCCTTTGTAATACAGGCAAATGGGACAAAAGAGAGTGCAAAAATATAGGGGATAAGTCTGTTGATAACCCTGGTAAAGTGTATGGTCGAGTTATTTAATTGAAAGAATAGAGAAAAGACGGAGAAAAGGCTAGCTGATGAACAAGGAGGCTATAGGCAAGGTAGGGGTGAGTGGAACAGGTGTTATTGACATGTGAAACAAATCAGTGAACAGTATTTAGATAAGGCTAAAGAGGTCTTTGTGCATTTATGGATTTGAAAGGAGTATGAACAGGGTGGATAGGGGGCAAAGTGGAGATGTTTGCAGTGTATGGTGTGGAGGTCGGTTACTGAAAGCAGTGAAGAGTTTTTTAACAGGATAGTGAGGCTCAATGTTAAGTAAGTAGAAAGAGGGAAATTATTTCCAGTAAAGTAGCCTTAGACAAGGATGTGTGATGTCACGTGGATGTTTAATATATTTAAAGATGGTGGTTGTAAGAGAATACAATGCGCGGGTCTTGTCAAGAGCGTGGAGTTAAAAGATACATGAATCCACACACATAAGAGGGAGTTGAACACAGTAAGCTCTTTAGCAGATGACACTGTGCTCATGGTAGATTCTGAAGAGAAGTTGCAAGAGAATTGGTGGAATGAATTTGTAGGGTGTGCAAAAGAAGAAAATTAAAAGTGATAGCAGGGAAAGAGTAAAGGTTATGAGGATAACAAACAGATTTAAGTTGATGAACGATTGGATAACAATAGGGCAGGGGAGAGTAAGAGGAGGTGAATGTATTCAGATCTTATGGTGAGTGGGACCGTGTCAGGGGAAGTGGTCTATGAAGAGATTAGGAGAATCAAAGCATTGATTAGGGGAAAATGGGTGAGTGGATGCACTTCGAGACTAGAGTGTCGACACACGAACTTTGTCCTTTGAGGCAAAGCGGGGAAAGTAATGAGAGTATAGTTTTTAACCAACGCTCTAAGTATAGGGTGAGAAGCATGGGTGATGATGTTGCAGTAAGGAGAAGGCTGGAGGCAGTGGAGATGTCATGTCTGAGGGCAATGTGTGGTGAGAAATATAATGCAGCAGAAGTTCGTAGTTTAGGAAGTTCGGATGAGGTGCGGGATTAACAAAACTGTTGTCCAGAGGGCTGCGGAAGGGTTTGTAATGAGTGGTTCGGCCAAGTAGGATAGAATGAGCGCAACATAGTGACATCAAGAGAGTACAGTCTGTAGTAGGAAGAGGAAGGCGTGGATACGGGGTCGGCCTAGAAAGTTTGGAGGAGTGGGTACAGGAAAGTTTTTAGTGTGCGAGGGGCTTGGACTAATCCACAGGCAATTGCATGAGCGTGTTTGGAAATTAGGAATGAATGGAGACAACAGGTTTATTAATACTTGACGTGCTGTTGGAGTGTGACAAAGTAACATTTATTAAAGGGGTTCAGGAAACCGCAGGCGACTTGAGTCCTGGAGAAGGGAAGTACAGTGCCTTCACTCGTGAAGGAGAGGGTGTTAATATTGCAGTTTACAACTGTATGTAAAATGCACCCCTCCGGCAAGACAGTGATAGGAGTGAATGATGGTGAAAGTTATTTCTTTTCGGCACCCTGCCTTGGGTGGGGAATCCCGCAGTTGAATAATAATCAATAATAAAATTTGAAGTCAGGTTTATGAAAGGATACTTCAGGAATGAGGAAGACTAGAACACATTGATGAAGGGGAAGATGCTGGCCTTCATACAGGTGATATGGCCAAAGCAGAATGCAAAGACAATGTCTTCATTGTGGATCGACTGAAGGAACTCATAAAAGTGAAAGGTCTACAGGTGAGCAAAAATTATTCACAGTTCACTGTAATCCTTCAGGTATTGTTCTTCATTTATTTTGATTTTTTTTTTCTGTTTTCTGGCTTGGTGAATCATTACTGGAAATGATTGTCTTTTGTTTTCAGGCTCAATAAATCATTACTAGAATTGGAACCTCTTGGTTCCAATTCTAGTAATTCCTTGCATCAAGAGATCCCAGACAGGTCCCAAGTGTTACAAATGTGACATTTATTAGCATTGACATCTTCCAGAAAATAATAGGTCAACCTATTGATACCCTCTATCATCTAGCCTGTTTCTGGTTTTGTAGCAGTTCACCACCACTCATTCTGGACTCATTATCACTAAAGACAACTAACACAAATGTAAGATGTTAACACAAAATAACATTCCTAAGCTGTAGGTATGCAGACAAGCCCCACCCAGGGAGGTATTACCATTCTGCCCAGTGAGTGTGAAACAAAAGTTTGTAATTGTTTTACAAGATGGTAGGATTGCTGGTGTCTTTTTTCTGTCTCATAAACATTCAAGATTTCAGGTACATCTTGCTACTTCTACTTATACTTAGGTAACACTACACATTCATGTACAAGCATATATATATATATATATATATATATATATATATATATATATATATATATATATATATATATATATATAATATATATATATATTAGTAATATTAAATATAAATATAAATATATATATATATGATATATAAATATATTTATATATGTGTGTGTGTGTGTGTCATGCCGAATAGGCAGAATTTGCGATCTTGGCTTAAATAGCAACACTCATCTTGCCATGTAGGACAAGTGAAAAATTTTGTGTATGCAAATAAGTTTGCCAAAACAATCCTGAACCTAACGAAAAAAATATATTTCACTGGTTTAGTTTAGTATTACTGTGTTTTTCCCAGTACGTTTAAATTATTGTAAACAAATCTAAAATATATTTAGTTTGGTAGGCTAAAATAAGTGCTCTTGTTACATTAAGGTTAGTAAAGTTATCTAAGATTCTTTTGTGCATAATTTAAAAATTTTTTTACATTAACATTTAATAAAAAAAAATATATCTATGAAACGTATAAGAGAAATTTTTAGAAAGGGGCCTAATTTTAAATGAGTTCCATGCTAATTGACCATTTTACATATTCGGCACGACATATATATAAATATATATATATATATATATTTCTTTCAACACACCCCGTATCTCAACAACCGAGGCGGGGTGGCCCAAAAGGAAAAACGAAAGTTCCTCCTTTTAGCACATTTAGTAATATATACATGAGTAAGAGGATAACAGCCCCTTGCGCCCCCCGGCATTTTTAAGTCGCCTCATACAACACGCATGGCCTTACGGAGGAAGAATTCTGTTCCACTTCCCCATGGAGAATATATATATATAAATATACTATATAAATAAAATATATATATATATATATATATATATATATATATAAATAATAAATATATATATATACCTATATATATATATATATATATTTTTATTATTTTATAATCACAACTGGCCGATTCCCACCAAGCGGGTGGCCCGAAAAAGAAAAAACTATCACCATCTTCACTCCATCACTGTCTTGCCAGAAGGTGCTTTACACTCAGTTTTTTAAAGTGCAACAGAACACCCCTCCTACAGATGCAGGCACGTACTTTCCCATCTCCAGGACTCAAGTCCTCCTGCGCCAGGTATCCCTGAACCCCTTCATAAATGTCTACTTTCCTCACACTCCAACAGCACGTCCAAGTATAAAAACCATTCATCTCCATGCACTCCTATCAAAACACGCTCATGCAACTCCTGCTGAAAGTCCAAGCCCTCCTCGCACACAAAACCTCCTTTACCCCCTCCCCCAACCTTTCCTAGGCCGACCCGACACCGCCTTCCCTTCCACTACAGACCGATACACTCATGAACTCATTCTGTTTCGGCTCCATTCTCACTACATGTCCGAAACCACCCAACAACCCTTCCTCGAGCCCCTGCACAACATTTTGGTAATCCCGCACCTCCTCCTAACTTCCAAACTACGAATTCTCTGCATTATATTCACCCACACATTGCCCTCACAGACATGACATCTCCACTGCCTCCAGCCTTCTCCTCGCTGCAACATTCATCACCCATGCTCACACCCATAATAATAGCGTTGGTAAACCGTTGGTGTATATATATATATATATATATAATATATATAAATAATATATTTATATATAATTATAGATATATATAATAATTAGTTTTATAAAAAAATATTAAAAAATAAAAAACCTACCTACCTCTCTGGGTTTTTCTTCTGTTTTCTTAATAGTCTCTTTTTTTTTTTCAACCAAACCGGCTTGTATCCCACCAAGGCAGGGTGGCCCAAAAAGAAAAACCGAAAAGTTTCTCTTTTAAATAGAATTTATACAAGGAGAAGGGGTTACTAGCCCCTTGCTCCTGGCAATTTAGTCACCTCTTACCACACGCATGGCTTACGGAGGAAGAATTCCTGTTCCACTTCCCCATGGAGGAAAGAGAAATAAACAAGAAAACAAGAGGCAGGAAGGAATGTCCTTCTAAAGGGCAATGTTATGGTGTAGAATATTATGCAGAAAATTCGGAGTGTGGAAATTAGGAGAAGGTGCGGGGAAGTTATAAAAGTATTAGTCAGAGGGCTGACGAGGGTGGTGAGGTGGTTTGTTCCATTTAGAGAGGTTGGATCAAAGATAAATGACATGGAGAGCATTTAAAATCTGTATGGAAGGAAGGCGGGGTAGGGGTTGTCCTCGAAAAGGGTAAGGGAGGTTTTGTGGGCGAGGGGCTTGGACTTCCAGCAGGCGTGCATGAGCGTGTTCGATAGGAGTGAATGGATACAAATGGTATTTGGGACCTGACGATCTGTTGGAGTGTGAGCAGGGTAATATTTAGTGAAGGGTTTCAAATAGAGTTAGAGCTAAAGAAGGAGTAGCAATAATGTTGAAGGATAAGCTATGGCAGGAAAAGAGGGACTATAAGATGTATTAATTCAAGGATATTGGAGTAAAATAAAGATTGTATGTGAAAAGTGGGTTATAGTAAGGGTGTAATGCACCTGTGAGAAGAAAAGAAGTGTAGAGGAGAGAGTGAGATCTTGGGAAATGTTATGAGTGAATCCGTATGGAGGTATTAGTAGTTAAATTTTGGGGTGCCAGGGCCAAATGTAAATGGGGAGCCTTTAATTTAGCATGTGGTAGAAAGAGATTTGGTAAAAAATATTACATAATTTATGTAAAAAGAGGATAAATAAATATACAGTAGGACCCCGCATAACATTACCTCGCAGAATGCGACCATTATGAAAGTGTAATTTATGTAAGTGCAAATGTAACGATTCTTTTATGGGGTCTGAAAATGGACTAATCAACTTCACAGTTTAATAATATTATTTTCTTATGGGAACAAATCGTTCAGTACTTGCACCTGAACATACTTCTGAAGTGAAAAATATCGTTAACCGAGGTCCACTGTACAAGGTATGCACACACACACACACACACACTGAAAGTAAGTTTATAGTTAGATTATGTATTGTATATAAAAGGTTGATGGGTAGGCTCCAGGATTACAAGTTTTATAGAGGGGCAACTGATATATCAGATCAATAATTTAGTTTAGCTACAGTTATGAGTAAGAGGAAAGATTGGAAAAGAGGAAGGTGGCAACAACATGTAAAGAGGGAGGGGAAAGTGTATAAACTAGGGAGGAGGAAGTTCGGGAGATATAAGTGACTGTTGGCAGAAAAGTGGTCTAGTGCAAAGATGAGAAGTGGGGGTGTTTGAGAGGGTTGGAATAGTTTTAAAATCCGTATTAGAAGTGTGGCAGAAGTATAGTGGTTATCGAGGAGGGTGGGGGCAGGTGGAAAGAGGAGTGATGTGGAATGATGCAGTAAAAGGGTGTGCTAAAAGAGCAAAAGTTAGCTTTACGAGAGTTTTATAGCAAAGCAGAAGTGTTATCAGAAAAGCCGAGTATATGACAGTAAACGAAAGGTGAAGAGAGTGTGAGAGAGTGCAAAAGGAGCAGATGATTAGAGTGGGAGAGGCACTGACAAGAAATTGTAATGAAAATAAGAAAAAATTTTGGAGTGAGTTAAACAAGTAAGAAAGCCTAGGGAAAGAATGGATTGTCAGTTAAAAACAGAGTAGGAAGTTAGTAGATGGGGAGAGGAGGTATATTAGTAGATGGCGAGGAATATTTTGAGAACATATAAATGTTGAGGACAAAAGGAGCGGTAATTTCATGCACTGGTCAGGAGGTATACCATCTTTTAGGAGTGAACCAGAGAAGAATGTAAGTTGGGGGGGGTACCTGAGGCAATTACTAGAATGAAAAGGGGTTAAAGCAGCTGGAACTTGATGGTATCATGACAGCAAATTGTAAAAGCAGGGGGATATAGTGTTGGAGTGTTGAGTGATTTATGTTTAATAAATGTATGAAAGAGGGGAAGAGTACTAGGGATCTGGCGGAAGCATGTCAATAGTCTCCCTTATTATAAAGGGAAAGGGGCCAAAAGGAGAAATGTAAAAATTATAGAGGAATAATTTAATTTAGTATACCAGAAAGTGTACGTGTAGGGTTATAATTGAAAGAATTAGCGTAAACAGAATGTAAGGATTGCGGATGAGCAAGGAGGTTTCAGAGTGGTAGGGGATGTGTAGATCAAGTGTTGTTACACTTGAAGCATATAAGTGGAACAGTATTTTTAGATAAGGTAGAGAATTTTTTTATTGCATTATGGATTTAGAAAGGCATATGAATAAGATGTTGAGAGGGGAACAATGTGGTCAGATTGCAAGTATATGGAATAGGTGGTAAGTTCCTAAATGCTGAAAGAGTTTTTATTAGGATAAGTGAGGCTCAGTTAGGTGTGTGTAGAAGAGAGGGAAACTACTTCCCAGTAAAAGTAGGTCTTAGCCAGGGATGTGTAATACCCCGTGGTTGTTTTAATATATATTCTAGATGGGTGTAAAAGAAGAAAATGCTAGGGTGTTTTTGGAGAGGGGTGGGGATTAAATTCAAGGGGAATCAATACACCATTGGATAATCGACACAGTTACTTTTTGCTGATGATACTGTGCTTTATGAGATATCAAAGAAATATTGCAAAGGTAAGTGGATGAGTTTGGAAAGTGTAGGTAAAAGGTAGAAAGTAGAAAAGTGAATCTATAAAAAGAGTAAGGTGATGAGGTATCAAATGATTTTAGATAAAGAAAAATTGGATATCAAATTGGGGAGAGGAGTATGGAAGAAGTAAATGTTTTCAGATACTTGGGAGTTGACGTGTTGGCGGATGGATTTATGAAGGATGAGGTTAATCATAGAATTGATGAGGGAAAAAAGGTGAGTAGTGCATTGAGGTATATGTGGAGTCAAAAAACGTTATCTATGGAGGCAAAGAAGGGAATGTATGAAAGTATAGTAGTACCAACACTCTTATATGGGTGTGAAGCTTGGGTGGTAAATGCAGCAGCGAGGAGATGGTTGGAAGCAGTGGAGATGTCCTGTCTAAGGGCAATGTGTGGTGTAAATATTATACAGAAAATTCGGAGTGTGGAAATTAGGAAAAGGTGTGGAGTTAATAAAAGTATTAGTCAGAGGGCAGAAGAGGGGTTGTTGAGGTGGTTTGGTCATTTAGAGAGAATGGATCAAAGTAGAATGACATGGAAAGCATATAAATCTATAGGGGAAGGAAGGCGAGGTAGGGGTCATCCTCGAAAGGGTTGGAGAGAGGGGTAAAGGAGGTTTGTGGGCAAGGGGCTTGGACTTCCAGCAAGCGTGCGTGAGTGTGTTAGATAGGAGTGAATGGAGACGAATGGTACTTGGACCTGACGATCTGTTGGATGTGAGCAGGTAATATTTAGTGAAGGGATTCAGGGAAACCGGTTATTTTCATATAGTCGGACTTGAGTCCTGGAAATGGAAGTACAATGCCTGCACTTTAAAGGAGAGGTTTGGGATATTGGCAGTTTGGAGGGATATGTTGTGTATCTTTATACATATATGCTTCTAAACTGTTGTATTCTGAGCACCTCTGCAAAAACAGTGATTATGTGTGAGTGTGGTGAAAGTGTTGAATGATGATGAAAGCATTTTCTTTTTGGGGATTTTCTTTCTTTTTTGGGTCACCCTGCCTCGGTGGGAGACGGCCAACTTGTTGAAAAAAAAAAAAAAATTCAGGGAAACCGGTTATTTTTATATAGCCGGACTTGAGTCCTGGAAATGGGAAGTACAATGCCTGCACTCTAAAGGAGGGGTTCGGGATATTAGCAGTTTGGAGGGACATGTTGTGTATCTTTATACGTATATGATTCTAAACTGTTGTGTTCTGAGCACCTCTGCAAAAACAGTGATTATGTGTGAGTGAGGTGAAAATGTTGAATGATGATGAAAGTATTTTCTTTTTGGGGATTTTCTTTCTTTTTGGGTCACCCTGCCTCAGTGGGAGAAGGCCGACTTGTTAAAAAAAAAAAAACTAGAAAGAAAATAGAAAAAAACCCATAGGGGTGTGTATATACATGCTTGTACATGTATGTGTAGTGTGACCTAAGTGTAAGTAGAAGTAGCAAGACGTACCTGAAATCTTGCATGTTTATGAGACAGAAAAAAGGACACCAGCAATCCCACCATCATGTAAAACAATTACGTACAGGCCTTCGTTTTACACTCACTTGGCAGGACGGTAGTACCTCCCTGGGTGGTTGCTGTCTACCAACCTACTACCTACTTCTTGTTCTTGCTTATTTCCTCTTTATCTCCATGGGGAAGTTGAACAGAATTCTTCCTCCATAAGCCATGTGTGTCGTAAGAGGCCATATCCCTCCCTGCCTCGGTGGGATATGGCTGGTTTGTTAAAAAAAAAAAAACATTAGCATATATATTAGATAAAATGCTCTTTGTTAGCCAAGGGCTACTTAGTCTCTGCTGTGGTCTGCTTAATTTTAATAGCACAATGCCTATTGTAGAGGCTTTGTATTTTTGTAGAACAACATTGATCCATTTGTCAATTTCCTAACTGTCAGTCAGCTCTCTGTGCCTGTCACTTACTGCTCTTATGAGGTTATTTACTGATGTCTCATTATGTAGATGGAATTAGATCTTACTAATATGGAGTGGTAATTTACACATTGATAGGAGGTATATGCCACTGAATATGCATGCTACTGTGGTGTTAGGATTTTTGTACAGACTGTTATTCTTCAAAACAGGGGCCTCCAGATTCTGCTCAGTCATGTTTGCCACTCTTCGACTATTTAAATTAGCTCATAGAATTATTTTTCCCCATTTTAGATTCTTTAATTTATGCATTACAATTATATTTTATTTAAATCACCTATAGTAACTCTTCAATTTTCCTCTAACAAGGTTGCACCAGCTGAATTGGAGGATGTAATACGAAAGCATCCTCATGTAGCAGATGTGGCAGTGATTGGTCTTCCACATGAGAGATCAGGAGAGGTACCCAGAGCTTATGTGGTCTTAGTGCCTGGATCTAATGTATCTGAAAAAGCCATAGCTGATTATGTTGCTGATGAGGTTGCTCCTCACAAACAGTTGTCAGGCGGCGTCAAATTTGTTGACACCATACCAAAATCTCCAACAGGAAAGATTTTAAGACGGGAACTAAAAGAAACTGCTCTTGCACAATAATAATTTTGATATTGCAATATGTTAGTGAACTGTATTATATATGTAATTCATTTTGTCTTCCAATGCACTATCTCATTGATATAACAATTTTTTCTGTTTTTTTATTGCATTGTTTTTTTAAATTTTTAGTAGTTGCCCTTTATAAATTGGCACACTTAACTGCATATAGCATTATGTGAATAATTATTGTTTTTTAAAAGTTGTAGGTAGTAGGTTGGTAGACAGCAACCGCCCAGGGGGTACTACCGTCCTGATAAGTGAGTGTAAAATGAAAGCCTGTAATTGTTTTACATGATGGTAGGATTGCTGGTGTCCTTTTTTCTGTCTCATAAACATGCAAGATTTCAGGTATGTCTTGTGTACGAATGGTATATAATACCGACAAGATGAGATTAAGACACATGTGCAACATCTGGGTATCTTTATGTAGACGTTTTCGCCATCCAGTGGCTTTATCAATACAAATTCTAGGACATAACATGAAGACAGTAGAACTATGTACAGAAGATGAGGTAATCAGTCCCTCAACCTAGAGTAGGTGCGTAAGAGCACAAAGTCGTGGAGAATCTCCAGAATCCCACACTATGTGCTCTCGCACCTACTCCTATTTAAAAGGACTGATTACCTCATCTTCTGTTACATAGTTCTACTGTCTTCAAGTTATGTCCTAGAATTGTATGATAAGCCACTGGATGGCGAAACGTCTACAATAAAGAACCCAGATGTTGCACATGTGTCAAATCTCAGTATGTCTTGCTACATTACTTACACTTAGGTCACACTACACTTGCATGTACAAGCGTATATACACACATACCCTCTGGGTTTCTGTATTTTCTTTCTAGTTCTTGTTAATCTCTTATACTCCATGGGGAAGTGAACGAATTCTTCCTCCGTAAGCCATGCTGTTGTAAGAGGCGACACTAAAATGCCGGCAAAGTTAGTAACCCCTCTCCTTATTAACATTACTAAATTTAAAAAGAGAATTTTGTTTTCTTTTGGCCCCTGCTCGGTAGGATACGCCGTTTGTTGAAAAAGAGAAGAAAGATGTTAGGTAAAAGGACACAAGTACAACTAATGTGACATTTTATTGTGGCTCCTGGAGAGCGAAACGTTGCCACAATAATATGTCGTATTAGTTGCCGTGTTCTTTAATCTGTTTATACAGCTAAAATAAGAATTTTGTGTATGTAATGGTAAGTACTGAGCAGCTAAAATATCAATGCAATAAATATACGGTAAACTCTCAGTTTAACAGACTAATAAGGTGAGCTGGTGGCTGGTAATGGTGATTGATGTTCATAGAGATGAAGTGATTTTGTTGTGATTATAATAATACAGGACAGGTTCTAAACCAAAGTTGTTAGTTTGTCTGTTGTTTCTGAACCTCGCATGGATTTGTCTGTATTTTGAATTCAATTAAATCTATTTCTGTTAAATTTAGTAGTTAAATTATACTCTGTGTTTAATTAATATGCTGTATTTCTTATATATTGTATAGTTTTTCAGTTCCTTTTCCTTTGATTTTCCTATATTAAATACAGCCCTATGGTATTAGTTACTGTTGCATAGTACAGTAGGTCCTCAAAGAATAACGTTGTTACGTTCACTGTTGTTTCATTATAACGTTGATGAGAAAAAACTGAAAGAATACAATGAATACATATTATTGTAGAATAAAAATTTGTAAAGTAGTATACAATATCATACAAATGCACAACAATAAACAGTGTTGTACAAAAGCGCTCGGCAAGTCCACCATATTTGTTATTGTTTGTTTTTGAACTGCGTGGTGGTAGGAGGTGCTCCTTACAATTTTTGCTTTGCAAACATTTATTCCTTGATTTAACCCTGTTGCAACGAGTGCTGAAGGTGCACTGTGTACCCCTGATGTCTGTGGCCACAAAGAACAGAGAAAAAGTGTGACATTAGAAACAAAAGTAGAAATCTTGTTTATATCAGTTAACCTATGGTAAAATTGGTTCATTATACTTCGTTTCACTCAAAGTTGCAGTTTCTGAGACTATCAATGTTGTTAAGTGACAACTTATTGTGCAGTAATATACTGCTTTGAGAATGTTTAATATTACCATTTATTTTTCTTAGTTTCATGATAATTATCAAAATAATTTTTTTGTTTATTATAGAAGCAAAGGAGGTTTTGTGGGCGAGAGGCTCGGACTTCCAGCAAGCGTGCGTGAGCGTGTTAGATAGGAGTGAATGGAGACGAATGGTATTTGGGACCTGATGATCTGTTGGAGTTTGAGCAGGGTAATATTTAGTGAAGGGATTCAGGGAAACCGGTTATTTTTATATAGCCGGACTTGAGTCCTGGAAATGGGAAGTACAGTGCCTGCACTCTAAAGGAGGGGTTTCGGGATATTGGCAGTTTGGAGGGAAATGTTTTGTATCTTTATACGTGTATGCTTCAAAACTGTTGTGTTCTGAGCACCTCTGCAAAATCAGTGATTATGTGTGAGTGAGGTGAAAGTGTTGAATGATGATGAAAGTGTTTTCTTTTTGGAGATTTTCTTTCTTTTTTGGGTCACCCTGCCTCGGTGGGAGACAGCCGACTTGTTAAAAAAAAAAAAAAAAACTTTCTTTCATAAATATTAAGGAAATTTTGCTCCTCTTCAGGCAAAGATTTCACATTAGTTTATTTAGGGATATGCTGTATATGTGTATTGACCTTCCAGTCACCATTCTTAGCTTGAAATTAGACTTAAGTAATATATGAAAATCTGTTCCCAAGTACGCACTAATGGCACTGTTTGTTTGTTTTGTTCTTCATTCTGGTTAACCCTTAAACTGTCCAAACATAGATCTATGTTTTTTCAACATTTTAAAGTATGTAAAAGAACGTAGATCTTCTTTTTTTTTTTTACATTTGAAAACGTTTAAAAAAAAATTTGATCTACGTTTTTTTTTTTTTTTATATTTGAAAATATGTAAAAAAAATGTAGATCTGCTTTTGGAGCACTACGCATGTGAACGTAGATCTATGTTTGGACAGTTTAAGGGTTATATAAATTCTGATGTGGTATAAACCTTGGTAATTGATACTGACATATTGGTTTAAAAAGACACATGTGCAAACATTAGGACATATTTATTAGGAAACATTTCAGTCTTGGAACTTTTATCCTCGTATTAGAAGTGATCACGGTTCCACGACCAAAACATATTTTTTTAATAAATACATCCTAGCATTTGCTCAAGCATCTTTTTAAACCAAACTCTGATGTATGTTTATTCAGTTTCTTAATGTTTCAGATAATGTGCATTTATGAGTGTAAGGGTGGAGGAATAAATAATTTATGAATTTCACTATTTTACAATGGATAGAGTCAGCTCAGTATAACTAACTATAGTCTAATTGTGCTATTTCTTAAATGCCAGACTGGTAATTCTAAATTTTAACATTAGCTTAACTAGGTTCATAATTAAATCCAAGAGTTGATACATAATTTACACTTGTTTATATGTATGCATCTTCAGATTGTTATTGGCATGCAGCCTCTAGGAAAACCAACCTAAGTTGTTAATGGGAGAGGAGCAACACTTTTGTTTTTTAGCATGCTATATCTTTGTTTAGCCTTAATGATCTTTAATTATATATTCTGTCAATACAGTATTACTGATGGTTTGTCATATAAAGAAGGAACTCTATAACAGATAATTTGTTTTTACTCTGCTACACATACTACCAATTCATTCTTAAAGCTTCTCTGTACCTCTTTACTTACTTCCTTATCACCTTCTGTCACTCAGTGTTTTGTACCACTAACATGAGATCTGAAAAGCATCATGTGATAAGGATCGTGAGTGCTGGATCCTTAGATTTATTTAGTAATATTAACTCTAGTTTTATTCTATGCTAATACTGAAATGATTAAAAAGTTATACAGTACAGTACAAGACTTATGGCAAACTGGTTGAGACCGAGGGCTAACCAACATACCCAAGACTCTGTTATAAACATAAAATAAAAACTAAAGTATTCCCCCAAAAAAACATAGCAGTGCTATTCATGCTGCAGAACTACTGGACATATTGATTAAAAATATTTGGTAGACTGCCTAGAAATTAGTAATTGCAGTACAGTACATCCACTGTGGTGGATGACATGTAAGGCTGAATATACATAAAGTATAATTATTTTTTTTCAGTCATTTAATGAGAGTGCTTTATAAAATTTAAGCATCATATGGGATAAAAGAATTTAGGGAAATTGTTCATCAAATTGACCTTAAAACAAAGGATAACTGATAATGGCATACAATGCTGACAAGTAAGATACATATGCAACAGTTAGGTATCTTTATTCCAGTGTCCATCACCCTTGAAGACGTAGTTTTGAAGTGGTCAATCCCTCAGCCTGGAAAAGAGTTTAATTCCATAGTCCAGGCTGAGGGACCAACCAACTCAAAATTATGCCTTCAAGGGTCATGAACTGATCACATCATCTTGACATCTCTACTACTGCTGCCTTCTCTGTTCTCAACTGAAGAAGCCTACTGTGTAGGCAAACGTATCAATAAAGATATGTACCTAATTGTTGTGCATATATCTTACTTATCAAAGGATAACTTTTAATGAATATTCAGTTGTAGCATCACCATCAGCAAACTTCATGAGTTCCTGTCATTATAAAGAACATAAGAATGACAAACCACTGCAGCAGACCTACTGGCCCATACGGAGCAGATCTTCCTCAAACCCAACCATTACCACCTTCATATTTGTCCAACCTATTTTCTGAGCTACCCAAGAATGAGCTTTGGCACTTCAGGTCCTAATCAATTCCAATCCCTCTCACTTGTATATTTGTCTAACCTATTTTTAAGCTCCCCAAGGTTTTAGTCTCTATAATCTTACTTGGCAGATTATTCCACTCATCAACAACACTTTTTTTGAAAAACAGTATTGTTCCACTTATTGACAGACAACTGTTTGAAGACCAGTATTTTCCTACATCCTTTCTGAATCTAAATTTATCAAATTTAAATATTATTTTGAGTTCATCCACCCTCAGAGATAGAGCATGCACCTTAACCAGAAGGACCTGTCAAGGAGATGTGGTGTGAGCCTTATCAGCAAGTTTCCTTACATTTGCTTACATAGCAGTAAATATGGTAGATATTGGCACCTAAGAGTTAGGTTAGCAAGGGCAGCAAGTGTATAACTTGCTTGTAAGTCTTGTGTTTTTTAACCTTAACTATATAATTTAAATACATTTAATTATCTGAATGTACATTACATTTGCTAGGAATATAGATTTATAAATTTCGGAGTGTAAATTTAGATAAAAATCATAATTACAATAAATAGATTAACAGGATGAGAAGGCTTAGGGAATGATTCTGAAAAGAAGATGCAGAGGTTGGTGGACGATTTGGGAAGGTATGTAAAAAAAGG